CAAAAAAGTCGTCAAAGGGTTCGTTCTCCGCCTCGTTGTTCCGACCCTTAACGTGCTCCTGTAAAAGGTCGAGCACATCCGTCACTGAAGACATAGAATCGGGAGGCACTTGCAACGTGTGCTCCAAAACTCTCTGGGTCTCCAGCGACAAACACATCCGCAGTTGGAAGAGCTGTTTGTTTGGAGGCATGCTGTCAAGGTCCACCATCGTGGAGTAATCTGTCCAACGCCGCCTCCACTCACGAAAAAGCTGAAACGTGACGTCTGGTGAGAGGGCGGGTGGGGGTTGAACAGATGCCTTGGGAGCTGTTGGGGTAGTAAGAGTACCTGGAGGACGCTGGTGTGGTGGAGGAGGGAGTGTACTGGCGCCTTGAAGCGCGCTACCTGCAAGTGAGGGAGGGTGGGTTAGCACCAGGGTCGCCAATAGCGCCTCAAAACGCAACTTTTCCTCCTCTCTTTGTGTCTCCTCCCTCTGAAGTTCCATCTCTGTGCGTCTCTCGTCCCGGTCGTCCATCCACTTCAGAATTGTGGCGATGTCCGTCGCTGGAGGTGGAGGATGAGAGTCTGCGCCCGGTGGAGGAGAAGGTGATGGGGTGTCGTGTCTCCCATCTTGACGTTGTCCCTTCTTACCTCCCATCTTTGTGTGTGCGTGGACTGCACTGTTTAATATATAAAGTGGCGCCTCAACAGCTCGAACCACATATATATGACATAAACAGCGCAGAAATAATGCAGAGTCTCCACTGTTCTGTCCGTGAGTGAGTGCGTGCGTGCGTGCGTGTGTGTGTTTGAGAGAGCGGAGCGTGGTCCGGCAAGAACGTCAGTGTCCTCGGGGCAATGTTGCCACATAACGTGCAGTGTTGCCACATGATGATATATATAAATGCTACTCGGCACAGTAGCTTATATACAGGGTTGCTACTCGGCACAGTAGCTTATATACATAACCTACAAGACAAGCAAAGGTAAACAGAAATTAGACAAGCACAGGCCACCAGAAGTTAGCCACAGATGAACAGAAGTTTGGCACTGGTCATCAGAAGTCAGCCACAGGTCAACAGAAGTAAGCCCCAGATAAACAAAAGTGAGCCACAGGACAAACAGAAGTCAGCCATGTGCATGTCAACAGAAGTCAACTATGCACAGGTGAACAGAAGTTAGCCACAGGTCAACAGAAGTCAGACATGCACAGGTGAACAGAAGTCAGCCATGCACAGGTCAACAGAAGTCAGCCACAGGTCAACAGAAGTCAGCCATGCACGGGTCAACAAAAGTTAGCCATGAATAGGTCAACAGAAGTCAGCTACAGGTCAAAAGAAGTCAGCCATGCACAGGTCAACAGAAGTCAGCCACAGGTCATCAGAAGTCAGCCACAGGTCAAAATAGGTCAGCCACAGTTCAACAGAAGTCAGAAATGCACAGGTCTACAGAACTCAGCCACAGGTTAACGTAAGTCAGACAAGCACAGGTCAACAGAAGTCAGACAAGCACAGGTCAACAGAAGTCAGACAAGCAAAGGTAAACAGAAATTAGACAAGCACAGGCCACCAGAAGTTAGCCACAGATCAACAGAAGTTTGGCACTGGTCATCAGAAGTCAACCACAGGTCAACAGAAGTAAGCCCCAGATAAACAAAAGTGAGCCACAGGTCAAACAGAAGTCAGCCATGCACAGGTCAATAGAATTCAGCCATGCACAGGTGAACAGAAGTCAGCCATGCACAGGTCAACAGAAGTCAGCCATGCACAGGTCAACAGAAGTCAGCCATGCACAGGTCAACAGAAGTCAGCCATGCACAGATCAACAGAAGTCAGCCATGCACAGATCAACACAAGTCAGCCATGCACCGATCAACACAAGTCAGCCATGCACAGTAGGGTGTGTCATACGGAGGCGAATTTTTATTTTTTTTGAGTTTGAAAAATCGGCCCATGGTATTAATGATGTAGTTCTATGTTCAGAATCATGTGATATCTTCAGATTTGAAAAGTTTTTATTTTTTGCTAGGTAAATTTTAACTTGAAATCTTATGAAAATTCAGTATTCCCACCCTTTTACCAACACCACTAAATAGCTTATTTAAAGTAAAGTAAATGTATCAGGTTAATTTATTAGGATGGAAATGATCCAGAATAGTGAAACGATTGATCTTGACACATTTAATAAATTTAATATTCCTTTAGAAAACAAAATCATCAAATACAAAAACCGGTTTTACTACTACGACCCGGTGTTGCTACACACCATAGAGAACATGTCTTTCTTGCTTCTGTTTCTACTCATCACCTCCCTGCTGACCACCTGAGCTCGGATGTAGCCTTCCCTCCTCTCCTGCTGGTAATATCGCAGATTGCTGGCCCGCTTCATTGGTGAGGCTGCAGGTAAGAGGGGCTCACTGCCAGCCTGGATGTTATCCAGATCTATGAGATCAGTGAGGGTCGTGGCACCTAGATTAACTTCAGGAGTCTTCCTGACCCTGAAGGAATCGTCACCAACTAATTCGTCATGCCCAGATCCTCTCATAAGTCTCATATCCAAGATCTTTTTGACTGCCACTCTTCTCTCCTCCTCATCCTTACTGCAGAGCATTGTCTGCAGAACTGCCTCGGGATGAGCATACCAGGAAGATCTCCTCACAGTCTGCTCCACAATCTGAACAACCTTCCTTGGCTGACCCCTCAGGAGCTCAAGCTGGAAGAGAACATGCCTCGGACCTTCGGAGAGCGATGACTTGACCTTGGTGTTGAACCAATTTGGCAAGTAGACACTCACGATGAATTGGACAATAAGTCTCAGGTTGTGAAGCTGGTTCCCTTTCAGTTTATGATGAGCGACCCAAATTCTGCAGAACCTGAGAGCCGTTAAGAGCCACCTAGAATGTGAGACTGGATCTATCTGCAGGTAAGCAAGTCTATCAGGCATGACCCAGTTTTGATGGCACTGCAAATCATGTAACCATAGTACTGTTCAGTACTCAGGTCGTCAATGACAGTATGTGCAAGCTCAACGAGTGGAGGGCCAACTGTGATTTTTTCAAAGCTCGGATTTATTTCTAACTCAGTGGCAGAGTCCAGCATCTTGCCAAGAGGACCAGACCCTCTGTTGTTTGAAAGAGTCTTGCCATCCAGCTCCTGGATCAGATGTCTGAGTGGCAATTCGTTGGTGTGGAGGTCACAAACAATCCAGACCAGCTTCCTCCCAATCTTCCGCTCTATCCACTGTATGACCCCCCCTTGCCACCCTGTGTTCGTGTTGGTGCTGTCCCCTACAATGGCCTGCAGGGTCTGGTCTACGTTCCTCTCTCTGAGCCAGTTCAAAATGTTATCTGCCACTATCTCAGCTGGTTTCCTGATGTCATCTTTCTCTGGAGTGAAATGCCACAAATACTTCCCTCCTGGTTCACTACAGCAGGAGTAGTGTTCCTCCTTCACCATGGCAGGGAACAACTTGTCAGAATCTCCAACTCTCATGAACACTTTAGTGTCATCCCGTCTCCCATCAAAGAACAAACAATTGATTCCATTTTCTCTTATCCCCTTATCAAACTCCTCTTCTAGGTTACTGACAAGTTTCTCCTGAGCTCTCCTTACCTTTTTATGATCTATCACCAGGTGAACATCATCAGGTTTTATCAAACCACCGTCAATCCAGGCAGCTGTTGCTATCTCTGCAGTTTCTCTGAGACCAGTGTGGTGTCGTATGCTGGCCAGAGCTATGCTCGGGATATCTTTCCTATTTCGAATCTTATGCCTGGAAGGTTTGGGATCATTATTTTCTGGGTTAGGGACAAAGTCAACATTCTCCTGGTCAGCACTCGCATCAGCCATGGGGAAGTCATTAAACTCTGAATCAGCTTGACTCCAATCATCGGCCTTTTTTACTTCACCCTGGGCCTTCTCAAGTCTCTTTTCCTCGGCAACTCTTCTCCTCTTCTGTCTCTCTGTGGCAGCCTCCTGTCTCTTGTACTCCGGAATATCTTGGCTAGAAATCATGAGAGCCCCTATACTGCCAGTCTTCTCTGTGCTTTTTGACAAATGCCAGTTCGATCACAGGAATCTTCAGTTCACGCTTGCAAATACAGGAGATGTGGGCCCGTATATACAGTCACGATCGCATCCAAACTCGTGACAGAGAACAATTGGGCACTCAAAGTAATTATGTCGTCAATCATCCAGTTGCTTGGCAAAGCTGTCCTTAACTGCAAGTTTTCCTCTCCCAAGAGAGATATCTCTTGCCTTTTCCCAACTGGCTAGCAGTCTCTCACTAATCTTCTTCTGACTTGTTATGACTGGAGGTTTGAACTGAGCGTTAGCCAGAGTGTACTGTGCCAAGACAGCTTTGGTCATATCACTGGCAATGTCTTTGCTTGTGTAAGTTCTTTGGTTCTTTTCACTGATTTGCCTGATTAAAACACCGTATCTCAAAGCATCTCTCAATGTAGGCAACTCCGACTTCAGGAGCTCTCTCCCAGACCCAAGATAGTGACTGAGATGGCTGGATTTTTGGTTCCTCGTCCTGACACAAGCAGCCATTGCAAATATTATCAACTTATAAATGCATCAGAATCTGAAACAGAAAAAAAATATTGTTAGTTGGGTTGTTAAAGAATGAAGTCAGAAAGCAATGTTCACTATTTAATTGTAATGCACTAATGCAGTTGTACGTTAGATTTTCGATAAATTTCACGCTAAAATTTACCTAGCAAAAGGTTGCAAAATATTGAAACTGAAATTATTTTCTGTTTATATATACTAAAATCTACCAAAAAAGTGATGGGCCATTAGTTTTAGCTGATCTTCCCTCCTATGACACACCCTAATGCACAGGTCAACAGAAGTCAGCCATGCACAGATCAACACAAGTCAGCCATGCACAGATCAACACAAGTCAGCCATGCACAGATCAACACAAGTCATCCATGCACAGATCAACACAAGTCATCCATGCACAGGTCAACAGAAATTAGCCATGCACAGGTCAACACAGGTAAAAACACTTACAGATGATCTTGACGACGTTGGTAGCACTCTTACTGCTGAGGCCACTGAAGTATGGCCTGTGCTTGAGGAAATCCTCCCAAATGATGCAGGCGAGAGAGTTACCAGTGGAGGACAGAGAGCTGGTGGAGGATGGTGGTGAGGTTGTGCGGTGGAGGATGGTGGTGATGGCGTGTTGTGGAGGATGGTGATGATGGTGTGTGGTGGATGATGGTGGTGATGGTGTGTGGTTGAGGATGGTGTTAATGGTGTTTGGTGGAAGATGGTGGTAATGGTGAGTGGTGGATGATGGTGGTGATGGTGTGCGGTGGAGGATGGTGGTAATGGTGAGTGGTGGAGGATGGTGGTAATGGTGTGTGGTGGAGGATGGTGGTGATGGTGTGTGGTGGAAGATGGTATGGTGGAGGATGGTAGTAATGTGTGTGGTGTGGAAGATGCAGGTAATGGTGTAAAGGAGGATGGTGATGATGGTGTGGTGGAGGATGGTAGTGATGGTGTGGTGGAGGATGGTGTACGGCGTGGTGAAGATGGTGGCAATGGTGTGGTTGAGGATGGTGGTATGGTGTGGTTGAGGATGGTGATGATGGTGTGTGGTGGAGGATGGTGGTGATGGTGTGTGGTGGAGGATGGTGGTAATGGCGTGTGGTGGAAGATGGTGGCAATGGTGTGTGGTTGAGGATGGTGGTGATGGTGTTTGGTGGAAGATGGTGGTAATGGTGTGTGGTGGATGATGGTGGTGATGGTGTGTGGTGGAGGATGGTGATGATGGTGTGTGGTTGAGGACGGTGGTAATGGCGTGTGGTGGAAGATGGTGGCAATGGTGTGTGGTTGAGGATGGCGGTAATGGTGTTTGGTGGAAGATGGTGGCAATGGTGTGTGGTTGAGGATGGTGGTAATGGTGTTTGGTGGAAGATGGTGGTAATGGTGTGTGGTTGAGGATGGTGGTAATGGTGTTTGGTGGAAGATGGTGGTAATGGTGTGTGGTGGATGATGGTGGTGATGGTGTGTGGTGGAGGATGGTGATGATGGTGTGTGGTGGAGGATGGTGGTGATGGTGTGTTGGTTGAGGATGGTGGTGATGGTGTGTGGTGATGATGGTGGTGGATGTGTGTGGTGGAGTGACGGTGATGGATATGTGTGGTGGAGGATGGGTGTGTATGGCGTGTAGAAGATGGTGGCAATGGTGGTTGAGATGGTAATGGTGTTTGCGGAAGATGGGCAATGGTGTGTGGTGATGGTGGTGATGGTGTGGTGGAGGATGGTGATGATGGTGTGTGGTGGAGGATGGTGGTGATGGTGTGTGGTGGAGGATGGTGGTAATGGCGTGTGGTGGAAAATGGTGGCAATGGTGTGTTGGTTGAGGATGGTGGTAATGGTGTTTGGTGGAAGATGGTGGTAATGGTGTGTGGTGGATGTTGGTGGTGATGGTGTGTGGTGGAGGATGGTGATGATGGTGTGTGGTGGAGGATGGTGGTAATGGCGTGTGGTGGAAGATGGTGGCAATGGTGTGTTGGTTGAGGATGGTGGTGATGGTATGTGGTGGAGAATGTACAAGTATGGTATAATATTATTTCCAAATATAAACATTATTTATGACCATACAACTTTACCATAATAAGGTTCAGGTAACATTAGTAACACAGGTCCACGTCAGGTAACAACACACCTAACATACAGTAGATGACACAGGTATTTGTTGACATAGGTTACAGGTTACAAAATTTACACAGACACACTTGTTGAACGCATGTTAAATATCATAGTTCACAGATTTCAGATAATACAAATAACATAGGGCACAGGTAACACGTAACACACTTAACATGTCACAAGTAACACAACATAAGTAACAGAGCTCCAGGTAACTCGCAAAACAATCAACACAAATGACACAGGTCCACGTAGCACGCAAAACAACCAACACAAATAACACAGATCCAAGTAGAACGCAAAACAATCAACACAAGTAACACAGGAAACAAAAGTAACAAGATTCCAAGTAAGAAAGGCAGAGACCTCAGTACACCACCGTACACCGCCGACACAAACACCCCAGCGAGTCCTGTAAGGTGACTCAGTTTGTCGGTCACCAAGAAGGGGAGGATCTGGTCTGGTTTGGTGATCTTCCCGGAGGTGAGGGGGTCACACGTGCTGTAGGTGGCGAAGGCAACCAAGCCGGAGAGAAAGAACACCGTCCACAGGCAGTATATCCCAACCAGGAAGAAGATGCT